AAATAAATAAATAAATAAATAAATAAATAAATAAATAAAATATTTGCTATTCTTTCATAGGAATTACTAGTGGACCTGAGAGAAGACAGATAAGATTTAAGCCCATCTTTTTTGTTACCTCTTTAGTAAGAACCCAAGCTACCTTTTGAAAGAACATATTTGAAATGTTTGGATTTATTAATCCATCTCTTGTATATTGGGTATTATCGTCCCACACTTCAAGTCCCAGCATTATTAAGGAATTTTTTATTTGATTATTCTGATGTTGTAGGTGTTGGCACACATAATTTTCTTTAGATTTTGGTTGGTTAGACTTTTGGTGTAGTAAGAGAATTTAGGGGTTTTTTTGGTTTGGTTTTTGGTTGGTTGGTTTTGGTCTTTTTAAGACAGGGTGTCCCTGTAACCTCAGCTGGCCTGGAACTCACTATGTAGACTAGTCTAGCCCCAATGTTACAGAGATCTGCCTGCCACTACCTTCTAAGTGTTGGAATTAAAAGGCGTGTGCCACAATACCTAGCAAGAACATTTAGTGTAATAGAAAATTTTGTATTGTGGAGCTAGATTCCTGGAAATCAGGTGTCATTTGTGAACAGGGATACTCTGAAGCAAGAAAGAACAAGTAAAGTGTCCTTTTTAGTAATGCCTTTCCCTGATGTGCTTCTGCAGATGTTAAGCTTCTAAATTATTCTTTCCTGCCTGCTTCTCCAGTGAAGTCATAAGTAGATGTTTGTGATAGTTTCTTATCACCATGGTAACTAAAGCAGTGTGGTTCCTCTTTCAGTTTAACTGTCACCTCTGCCCAGGGGAGAGGACAGCCTCTGGGACAGCACAGGCTCAGTCATGAAAAACTATGTGTCAGGTAATAAGGGGCAGCATTCCACAATCTTGCCTTTCATAGTCTCACCTCTGTCTCTAGTCTTCAGGCACTGTGATGCCCGGGAACCCTGTGGGGAGACCACTGCAGTTCTTGGAACATGCTTGTGTTTAAACAGTGAATTGCTTGGGCTTTGCCAATGGCTCTCAGAGAGACTGCTTGCTTCTGTCTTCTCTGCATCAGTCCATTTCTCCTCAGGTCCAGAACTTTGGCATCTTTAGAATTTCTTTCTTTCTTTCTTTTTTTTCTTTCTTAAAACAGCTTTAGCTATTTTGTAATCTCTCTCTCTCTCTCTCTTTCTTTCTTTCTTTGGTCTTTTTGAGACAGGGTCTCCCTATAGCCCCAGCTGGCCTGGAACTCACTACGTAGACCAGGCTGGCCTCGAACTCACAAAGATCCACCTGCCTCTGCCTCCCAAGTGCTGGGATTAAAGGCGTGTGCCACCACACCCAGCCGCCTAGTTCAGTTTTTATTTATGTGTTATGAATGTGTGCCTGCATGTATTTAAGTACACCACATATATGTGGTACCTGTGGAGGCCAGAAGAGGACATCGGATCCCTTTGAACTGGAGTTACAGACAGTTTTTAGCCACTATGTTGTTACTGGGAACTGAACCTGGGTTCTCTGCAAGAACAGCTAGTGCTTTTAGCTGCTGAGCCATTGCTCTAGCCCCTACATTTTTTTAAAAATTATTTTTATTTTATGTGTATGCTTGTATTGCTTGCTCATATGTAAGTGTACCCGTGTTGTGCAATGCCCACAGAGGTCAGAAGAGGCCATCAGATCCCTTTGAACTGGAGTTACGGACAGTTGCTAGCTGCCATGTGGGTGCTGGGATTTGAATCCAGGTCTTCTGCAAGAACAGCCAGTGTTCTTAACCACTGAGCCATCTCTCCAGCCCCTACATTACTTTTTTTAATTGTGTCAATATATGTACATATACCTGTCATAGTCTCTATGCAGCTATCAGAGGACAACTTGCAGGAGTCAATCTCTCCTATGTGGGCTCTAGGTATCAAACTCAAGTTGATGTCAAGTGCCTTTATCTGCTGAGCCATCTCACTGTCTCTCTGCTTTCCTTCCTTTTCTTTTTTGTTTTTTGTTTTTTCATTTTGTGTTTTTGAGACAGGGTCTCCCTGTAGCTCTAGCTGCCCCGGAATTTGTAGGCCAGGCAAGCCTCAATATCATCGAGATCCACCTGCCTCCTGAGTACTGGGATTGAAGATATGGACCACCATGCCCAGCTTTTTTTTTTTTTTGGTTTGTTTGCTTACTTGCTTGTTTTTTGTTTTTTGTTTTTTGTTTTAAGGCAGGGTCTCCCTGTAGCCCCAGCTGTCCTGGAACTCACTATGTAGACCAGGCTGGCCTTGAACTCACAGAGATCCACCTGACTCTGCCTCCCAAGTGTTGGGATTAAAGGCATGCACCACCACGCCCAGCTTTTTTTTTTTTTTTATGTGTATGGGTGTATTGCCTGCATATATGTGAGGGCACCCATGTCGGGAAATGCTGCGGAGGTCAGAAGAGGGCTTCAGATTCCCCTGGAACTGGAGTTAAGGACGGTTCACAGCCACCATGTGGGTGCTGGGAATCGATCCCAGGGCCTCTGCAAGAGCAGTCAGGGCTCTTAACTGCTGAGCCATCTCTCCAGCCCATTTTTTGTTTTTTTAAGAAATATTTTATGTGGTGGCTATGAACTGTCCTTAACTCCAGTTCCAGGGGAATCCGAAGCCCTCTTCTGACCTCCGCGGTATTTCAGGACACGGGTGCACTCACATACATGCAGATACACTTGTATACATAAAATAAAAATAATTTTTAAAAAATAATAAAATAAATATTTTATGTTTATGATTGTTTTGCCTGCTCATATGTAAGTACATCACATGCATGCAATGCACACAGAGGTGAGAAGAGGATGTTGGTTTCCCTGAAACTGGAGTTACATACAGCTGTTAGCTGCCATATGGGATGGGTGCTGGGAATCAAACCCATGTACTCTCGAAGAAACAGCAAGTATTCTTAGCCACTGAGCCATCTCTTTAGCCCTGCTTGTTTGCTTTTTGAGAGAGGGTCTCACTTTGTAACCCTGGAACTTCCTTTGTAGACGACACTGACCTCAAACTCAGAGATTCCTCTGATTACCACACCTGGCCTTGCTTCCTTTTTAGACCTTTAAAAAGTAATTGTACCTAGCCGGGCGTGGTGGCGCTCGCCTTTAATCCCAGCACTCAGGAGGCAGAGGCAAGCAGATCCTTGTGAGTTCAAGGCCAGCCTGGTCTTACATAGTGAGTTCAGGTCAGCTGGGACTGCAGGGAGACCCTGTCTCAAAAAGAAAAAAAAAAAAAAAGATAATTGTATTTTATTGTTGGTTTATTAGCATTAAAGATAATTATGTGCAGGAAATGATATTTTGTATTTACCTATTTACATTTCTAGTGTTCATTTTGTAGGTACAGAACCCTTTTCAGAAGACTCAACACAAGTATTAAGTATATATAGTATTTATGGATGTGCATATTTGTGACTGAAAACAGAATATGACAGTTTATCTTTTGGTTGTTATAGGGGTGGTATGAGGGCACCTAAGGTAGGGAAGTGCCCACAGCTAGATGATTGAGGAATACTGATGATGCTCTGCTTCTTAGGTTTAGTAATAGGGTTAAAGGTCTGTGTTGTATTTTACTCATCAGTAACACCTGAATTTATAATTGTTTTCTTTCTTGTGAAATGCAGGTGATGAGGACTTTTAAGCATTTGCCCTAGAACTTAGCTCTTAGTAATAGTTGAAATATATTAACTTATTTAATCCTTATAGGGGTTAAATATTGAAAATTTTGAAATCCTAAGCCTTTTTCCTATTCATTTTAGATAGGGTTATTCAGTCTGTAACTACTCAATAAAGTAGGAACTATTATGAGACTGATTGGTTTGTTTTTGTGTTAGTCTTTTTGAGATAGGGTCACCCTATGGCCCTACTTGGCCTAGAACTTGCCATGTAGACCAGGCTGGCCTCAGTCTCACAGAGATCTACCTGCCTTTACCTCCAAGTGTGCTACTACACCTGCCTATTGAGACCGTTTTAAAGATAAGTCCTGAAATATGGAAGTTAACAGAACTTACCCAATGTTCAGGTAACAAGTGAAAGAGCCAGGATTTGAGCCCAGACAGTATGACTCAAGGAGCCACACCTTTAACTACTACTGTACCTATACCAATATAATATCACCTATGCAACAAGCTTATTACGTATGATTAAAGAGACTGTATGTATGCTCATGTGTGTTGGTTTGGGATAGCCAAAGAGATGTGAGGTGTGGTTAGTGAGATTACTCCTAGAAAGGGTGTCATCCCCCTGGAGTAGGGGACAATGGAGCATGAGCAGGGATGACAGCACAGTGATAAGGGATGCTGCTCTCTGAGTGAGTCTCTGACAATATGTTCATGTCTTCCCTTGTAGAGACCATGGCAAGCCCAGGAAAAGACAATTATCGAATGAAGAGCTATAAGAACAATGCCTTAAACCCTGAGGAAATGAGACGAAGAAGAGAGGAAGAGGGCATTCAGCTCCGGAAGCAGAAGCGCGAGCAACAAGTGAGTCAAACAGAGTATTCTCAAACACACTAACAGGGAAACTAGACAAGTTAATTGGCAGCCCAATCATGGACTTCCTTTTTTATTTTTTTATTTTTTTATTTTTTATTTTTTTGGTGGAAGTGGGGTTATGCATATGTATAAGTACATGTACACATGTGTGTACCAGAGGTTGATATTGAATGTCTTTCCCAATAGCTCCCACCTTATTTTTTGAGACGGGGTCTCAGTAAACCTGGAGCCTGCTAAAAATGTGTGAGTGTTATGCCTACATGCGTGTAAGGGCACCCATGTGTCAATGCCTGTGGAGGCCAGAAAATGGCAGTGGATCCCCTGGAACTGGAGTTAAGGAACAGTTGTTAGCTGCCATGTGGACACTGGGAACCAAGCCCAGAGTCCTCTGCAAGATCAGTGTTCCCAACTGCTAAGCCATTTCTCCAGATCTGAATTTTTTTTCTTTTAAATTATGTATATGTGTTTATCTGTGTGTGGGTTTGTGCATGTGAGTGTAGTCCCCTTCGAAGCCAGAAGAGGGTGGCAGATAACCTGGAGCTAGAGTTACAGGTTGCTGTGAGACATACAACATGGGTGCTGGGAACTGAACCTCAGATCTTCTGCAAGAGCAGTATGTGTTCTTAAGCACTGAGCTATCTCTCTAGCCCCTTTTTTCATCTTTAAAAAAAAATTTTTTTATGGCAGGGCATGATGATGTGCTTGTTTAATCCTACCACTCAGGAGGCAGAGACAGGCAGACTCTGAGTTCAAGGCAAGCTGGAGCTACAGGAGACCCTGTCTCAAAGAAACAAAAAACAAACAAAAAATTTTTTAGAGGCTGGAGAGATAGCTCAGAAGAGCAGGTAATGTTCTTTCAGAGGTCCTGAGTTTCCCAGAACCCATATCAGGTAGCTTACAACCTCTTGTAACTCCAACCCCAGAGGATCTGACACCTCTGGCCTCCATGGGCACCCACACTCATGGATATACACAGATAATACATACAGAAATGTTTAAAAATAAAAATCTTTCAGAAAATGTTGAAATATTTTTAATTTATTCTTTTACAATTCCATGCTTATACATAATATATTTTAATCATATTAACTCATCTTCTCTTACCACACTCCTGCTGAACCCCATCTTTGCAACAAGTCCTCCCTGCTAGCTTTCATGTCTTTTTTTTTTTTTTTAAAAATGACCCACTGAGTTTATTCAGGGATGTTTACATGAATGTCGTTTGGTTGTTTACTGGAGTGCCTGGACAGCTTAGCAGTGGCTACACGCTGAAGGAAAGGACTCTTCTTCCCCAGCAGCCTTGTGCCTTTTTGTCTTATTTATACTGAAGTCAGTGTTTAGCCTGGCTATTAAGAGCTTAGTAGCCACACTGGGCCACCTTCTGGGTTTGTTTGGTGTTTTTTTTTGATGTATTTATTTTTATTTTATATATATGAATGTTTTGCTGCATGTATTTAAGTACACCACATGGAGTTACAGAAGGTTGTTAGATGTCGTGGTGGTTTTGGGAACTGAACCCTGGTCCTTTGCAAGAGCAGTAAGGAGTCTTTACCAGTGAGCCATCTCTCTAGACGGGAGTCTTATTTTATTAAGTTTACCTAAGATTGAGACTGTTGTTTCACCATCTCAGCCCCGCTCCATAACACCACCAATGGTGCTTGTTGCTCAGCTCTAGATTCAGTAATATAATCTGCTTTTGCTCACCTTTTTCAAAGCCTTTGTACCCATGTCAGTTGCACAAAGTGCAAAGAAATCTACATATGTTCACGAAAAGTGTAAACGGGTCTTGGTGTGGTAACACACACCCTTTTTATTTATTTTTTTAACTTTCTAACTTTTTTTAAATTTATTATTTTTATTTTATGTGTATGCGTGTATTGCTTGCTTGTAGGTAAGCGCACCCATGTCGTGCAATGCCCGTGGAGGTCAGAAGAGGCTGTTGGATCCCCTGGGACTGGAGTTACAGACAGTTGTTAGCTGCCATGTGGGTGCTAGGATTCAAACCTGGGTCTTCTGCAAGAACAACCAGTGTTCTTAACTGCTAAGCCATTTCTCCAGCCCCACACACCCTTTTTAATCAAGCCCAGCACTGGAGGTAGAGGCAGGCTATGTGAGATCAAGGCCAGCCTGGTCTACACAGTGAGTTCCAGGCCAGCTGGGGCTACAGGGAGACCCTGTCTCAAAAAAATTTTTTTTTTAATATTTGTACCTGGGCACAGTGGTACATGCCTGTAATCCTAGCAGTCCAGAGGCAGAGGCCAGCTGCCTCTGCTGGCCTCTCCCTGTAGGGAGACCCTGCCTCAAAAAAGAGATAGAGAAGCTGGCGCATGCCTTTAATCCCAGCACTTGGGAGGCAGAGGCAGGCGGATCTTTGTAAGTTCGAGGCCAGCCTGGTCTCCATAGTGAGTTCCAGGCCAGCTGGGGCTACAGGGAGACCCTGTCTCAAAAAGACAAAAAAAAAGCGATAGACAAAAATGAATAAATGTGCCAGGCATGGTGGCACACAGCTTCAATCCCAGCACTTGCGAGGCAGAAACAGGTTGAGTTCAAGGCCAGCCTACATAGTGAGTTCCAGGTCAGCTGAGCTGGGGCTTCAGGGAGACCCTGTCTCAAAAAGATCAACAACAACAACAAAAATGTAATACAGAAAGTATAGCTGTTGAATGTGCTTCCATTCATGAAGCTGGGCCTCATTTCCTCACTCAAGTGTTTCCTGTCCTTTGTTGTTGTGTAGTTTTGTTGTAGTATAGCTTATTTAATTTGGTTCTGTGAGTATTTCTGTCTCACTATTGTACTTTCAGCTTTTTAAACGGAGAAATGTGGAGCTGATTAATGAAGAACCTGCCATGTTTGATAGTCTGCTGATGGACTCCTATGTGAGCTCTACAACTGGGGTAAGCCCTGGAAGGCATGGGACACAACTCCTTCTCAGCAGAACATGCATGGTTCATGTCATCTAGAGCTTTTCCAATAGTGTTAAGCTCTTCCTTGCCCTTCTGTAGATGATCGGCTTAAACAGTCAACATGGAATCATTTCTGATGGAAACACCTGAAGAAACATTTAGGGGAAGTTAATCAGCTACATCACAGATTAGGGATCACTTTCACATATTTCCATCTGAAGCAGGCATGGATTAAATACCCCTCACCCAGATCTGTTAATACTATCCTTTTATCTGAGAGTCTTCGCAAGCAGGGTTATTTGCTCTCATCTGGCTATGGTACTGATTTGCAAGGTCATAAGCCTATTTTATATTCTAGGAGAGTGTGATCACAAGAGAGATGGTGGAGATGCTCTTTTCTGATGATTCTGACTTGCAGTTAGCAACCACACAGAAATTCCGGAAACTGCTCTCCAAAGGTATCAAGCCTGGTTCTTCTCAGAGAGGTGCTTTATGGTTTGGCCTCTTGTTTCCTTTACTGCCTTCATCTACTAGTGCTCATTCTACTCTGTATTAGCCAGGCTTTCCTTGAATAAGCTAGGCACATTCCCATTTTCCACTTGATACTTCCTCTGTCTAATATCCTCTGCTCCCAGGACATCTGTTCAGCACCTCCTTCAGTTACGACTTTTTTTTTAAGATTTGAAAAAAATGTCATGTATGCCTTTATATGTGTACGCTACATGAGTGTGGTTGCACAAGAGAGACCAGAAGAGGCTGTCGGATCCCCTGAAGCTGGAGTTAACAGTCAGTTGTGAGCTACCTGACATGCATGCTGGGGATGGAACTCAGGTCCTCTGCAAGAGCAGTATACACTCTTTTGTGTCTTTTTGTTGTTTTGGGTTTGTTTTTTTGGTTTTGTTTTTTTTTCTTTTGTTTTTTGAGACAGGGTCTCCCTATAGCCCCAGCTAGTCTGGAACTTACCATGTAGATCAGGCTGGCCTAGAACCCACAGAGATCCTCCCACCTCTGCCTCCCAAGTGCTGGGTCTAAAGGCCTGGTCCACCACGCCTGGCATAGCAGTATATGCTCTTAACTGCTGAGTCATCTCTCCAACCCCCAGTTACACCTTCTTTTTCATTTTATTTTTTTATTTTTTGTCTTTTTGAAGCAGGGTCTCCCTGTAGGAGACTGATGTAGGTTACTGATGGTTTTGAGCTGTCATGTGGCTGCTAGGGCCTAAACCTGGGTCCTCTGTAAGAGCAGCAAGTGTTTTTAACTGGTGAGCCATTTCTCCAGTCCCAGTTATACATGCCTTTTGTTCCTTTTTTTATTTGTTCCTTTTTTAAAATTTCTTTTTTCTTTTTTTTTTTTTTTGGTCTTTTTGAGACAGGGTCTCCCTGTAGCCCTAGCTGACCTGGAACTCACTATGTAGGTCAAGATGACCGTGAACTTGCAGAGATCTGCCTGCCTCTGCCTCCCAAACGCTGGACTAAAGGCATGGGCCATCACACCTGGATATTTATTTTCTTTTTACTTTTTTTTTCTTGTATCAGCCTCTATTTGTTACAGTGTATTGTTTAGAAAATAAGGGAGGGGGGAGCCTGTTCCAATCCAACTCTTTTTTGCTTTTGTTATTTGTGGGGGGTTTTTTTGGTTTTTTTTTTTTATCTTTATTGAGACTGGGTCTCCTTGTAGCCCCAGCTGTCCTGGAACTCACTATATAGACCAGGCTGGCCTCGAACTCACAAAGATCCACCTGCCTCTGCCTCCCAAGTGCTGGGATTAAAGGCATGCGCCACCAAGCCTGGCATTTTATTTATTATTTTTATTTTATGTGTATTACTGTATTGCCTGCATGTATGTGAGTGCACCCGTGTCGTGCAATGCCACGGAGGCCAGAAGAGGGCTTTGGATTCCCCTGAAACTGGAGTTAAGGACTGTTCATAGCTGCCATGTGGGTGCTGGGAATCGAACCCAGGTCCTCTGCAAGAGCAGTCAGTGCTCTTAACTGCTGAGCCATCTCTCTAGCCCCATTATTTGTGTTTTTGAGATACTGTCCCATTAAACTTGAACTCAAGATCCTCCTGCCTCAGCCTATTGCTCCGCCTACCAAGTGCTGGGGTTATAGTCATACACCCACCACTATGCCCAACTGTTAATATTTTTAATGAGCTGTTGATAGAATGTGGAAAGCAAAGCAGAGGGAAGACTGTACTTACTACTTTCTAAAAAAAAAAAAAAAACTGTCTCCCCACTACAATTAAGTTCTGTGACAGCAGGACTTTGGGTTTTATTTCCTGCTATATCCTTCATACTTGAATCTATGTAGTACACAGTAGTTGCTCTGTAAAAAAATTTGTGTATGATGTGCAAAACCTGTGTTTGGTTTGCAGAAACCAAACACCTCTTACCATAGTATACTGAGCATTTCTCCCAAGAAGAGAGCAGTGGTCTTTCTTAGAAGGACACTGTGAAGACTGTGTGTTGAGGTTGCTCATTCCTTGGACTTTGTTCTCTCTTTCTGTTAGGCTCACATTTAGTGAGCATACCTACAATAGGATTGGCTCCTATGTTGTAACATGCCAATCTGTGCAGTTCATAGATAAGCAGAAGGGAGTTTTGAAATGTTTGTAAGGTGGTCGGAAGCATCTAGAATTGTGTGACTGGATCAGCAAAAGCCTTTCTAGACTTTTCATCTTTTTCCTGTCTCCTTCTAGAACCAAGTCCTCCAATAGATGAAGTTATCAACACTCCAGGGGTAGTTGATCGCTTTGTAGAGTTTCTGAAGAGGAATGAGAACTGTACATTGCAGGTAAAAACTAAGGAATGTGGTGACCAGGTGAAAGCTTTTCATCCAAGAAATTATAGTAGGTTATTTCTGCAGGCATATCTTTTGGGAAATAGAATAATATGAGGAAGCATATTATGTCAGTTGCCTCAGACATTTTAGCTGCAAAGTAGAGAGCTGAAATATCTTCCTTAAAACCAATCCCAGGGCCAGTGAACTGGCTCAGTGGGTTAAGGTGCTTGTCACCAAGATTGACAGCCCAAGTTTGATAACCAGGACCCACATGTTGGGTAGAGAGAAGTGATTCCTGTAAGTTGTCCTCTACCTACACGCTCACGCCATAGCATGTTCACAAACAAAATAAAGAAATGTTATAAATTTTTTTTAAATTAATAATGGAAACTAGAGAGCTGGCTCCATGGTTAAGAGCACATACTGCTCTTACAGAGGACCTGAATTTGGTTCCTAGCACCCATATCAGGTCATTCGCAACCTCCTTGTAACTCTAGCTCCAAGGGGCCCTGATGCCTTCATCTGACCTCTATGAGCTCTTCACTCACATACACAAACCCCCACATTAAGAAAAAAAAAAAAAATTTCAATAGCTATGTGAGGTAATGTATTTGTTAATTAGCTGAGTTTAACCATTCTACAAAGTATTGTACATGATGAAAAAAGTGGTGTCAATTAAAAACACCTAACTTAGGTGTGGCAACACACATCTGTAATTCCAGCACTCAAGAGGCTAGGGCAAGATGGTGGTGGCCAAAGGTTTATTGCCAACCTGGGCTACATAGTAAGATCTTATCTCAAAACAAGGAAGGAAGAGAGTTTTAACTTCAAAGATACTGGAATATGCCTGGCATTGTGGTACACACCTTTAACTCCAGCACTTGAGAAGCAGAAATGATCAGCCTGGCCTACATAGTGAGTTGTAAGTCAGGGCTACATAGTGAGGTGAGACCCTGTCTAAAAGCAAAGATAACAGGTCTGGCGTGGTGGTGCATGCCTTTAATCCCAGCACTTGAGAGGCAGAGGCAAGCCTGGTCTACATAGTGAGTTCAAGGCTAGCCGGGGCTACAGGGAGACCCTGTCTCAAAAAGACCAGGAAAAAAAAAAAAAAAAAGAGTGTTTTGAGGCAGCTGGTGGGAATGGCAACTCCTTATAAAATGACCTCTCAATCATGGCTTAATTTCACTTTCAGTTTGAAGCTGCCTGGGCTCTAACAAACATTGCCTCTGGAACCTCTCAGCAGACTAAAATTGTCATTGAAGCAGGGGCTGTCCCCATTTTTATAGAGCTGCTTAATTCAGACTTTGAAGATGTACAAGAACAGGTAATGCTCAGATTTGGCAAAATTTTTTATGGTACTGACAGTAAAATAAAAAGACATGTTTTGGGGGCTGGAGAGATGGCTCAGCGGTTAAGAACACTGGTTGTTCTTGGAGAAGACCCCGGTTCAAATCCCAGCACCCACACGGCACCTAACAACTGTCCGTAATTCCAGTTCCAGGGGATCGGCAGCTTCTTCTGTCCCCCGAGGGCATTGCACAACAGGGGTGCACTTACCTACACACAAGCAATACACATACACATAAAAAATTAAAATAGCTGGGCGTGGTGGTGCACGCCTTTAATCCCAGCACTCAGGAGGCAGAGGCAGGCAGATCTCTCTGAGTTCAAGGCCACCCTGCTCTACATAGTAAGTTCCAGGACAGCTGGGGCTACAGGGAGACCTTGTCTCAAAAAAAAAAAAAAAAAACATGTTTTATCCCAGGTTTTGGCATGGTGCTCTTAATTCCCTTGGACTTTTTCCATTTATAAAAGTATGTTTTGTTATTCAAGGAGCCCCATTGGAACACACCTGAGTTTATATAGAGAAATGATCCAGAAGGGTTAGGTAGCATTCAGATGGGTTAATCACCAGAATGGTCAAGAACAGGATTACAGGGTGAAAGTTTGGAGCTACACCTCTTCAAAATGCAGGAAGTGCTGTGGAGATTGAATTGTAAAAAGTCATGAACAACGAGGAACTGGGAATTGTAGATGAGTTAGTAGAGTGTTTGCTTAGCATGAATAAAACCTGGGTTCAATCCCTAGCACCACAGAAACCCAGCACACTGTAATCCTAGCTCTTGGGAGGTAGCAGCAAGAGGATTGGAAGTTCAAGGTTATCTTTGGATACACAGCAAGTTTGAGGCTAGTCTGTTTCCAGAAAGTTTTGAATAAATAAATGCTATTGAGCAATGAGAATCTCTCAGTTGGTGAGCACATCCACGTATGGGGAGGTGGCAGAGTGCATAGAATCTCTGAATTGCCTCCCCTCCCCACTGCATACCTTTTCCTAGGTATCTTTTCCATTTGGCCTTTGCTGAGTCACATCCTTGATAATAAACTGGGTAAACACAAATAATTTTAAGTTATCTGAGTGGTTCCAGTGTTAGTGAGTTAAGCTGAAAGAAATGTAAGCTTGCCAGTGAGACTTGCAACTGTTGTCCAAATTGGGTATAATTCTATAGGACTGACCTGTGTCATCTGAGCTAAATCTAGGAGTTAGTGTTGGAATCGAATTCAATTACTGGACACACAGGTGGTGAGAGAATTAGTTATTAGTACAATTAGTATTCTACTAGTTGCATGGAAATGGAGAGTGAGGATGATCACTTTCTCCTTTTCCAGCGGTAGGGATGCTAAGGTCTTCATATGACTTCTCTGGCTTCAATACAGATGACAGCACCTTCTAGGGGAAATGTTCTTATTTATTGAGAACAAGTGCTTGATAAAGATTTCAATAGGGAGATGATTTGAGCTTATTCTGTCTCTCTAACTTGACATTGTTCTCATCCTGGTGAGTACTTTGTAGTTCTGGTTATGAACTGGTGACAGTTGCATCATCCCTTTTCAGGCAGTCTGGGCTCTGGGAAACATAGCTGGAGACAGTTCTGTTTGCCGAGATTACGTCTTGAATTGTTCCATCCTTAATCCTCTGTTAACGTGAGTAATTACTATTACTTGCATCTGGGGCATCTATAGGGCAGCCATGGGGCAGGTCATTTGAGGCTAGTTTACTTGATCCTTTAATAGAGAAATCAAAAAGTCTAGAAATGCATTCTTGGGTTGGGTTGGGTTGGATTAATTTCCTGAGTATTAAACAGGTCTTTGAACATCCATACAAGCATTTTATCAATTAAGTTGTATTTCCAACCCCTAGAAATGTAATCTGATCGCCAAAATAAATAGATATCTTTTAAGAATAAGATTAGCTAGGTGTGGTGGTGCACACCTTTAATCCCAGCACTTGGGAGGCAGAGGTAGGCAGATCTCTGAGTTCAAGGCCAACCTGGTCTACAGAGGGAGTTCCAGGTCAGCTCGGCCTCCAGGGAGACCCTGTCTCAAAAAGATGGATCTGTGTAGGTGAAGGTCTTATTCTTCCTTATTCTTCTTTACCTCATTATACTGTAGAGTAACATGTTGGTCATATCTGCCTTATTGAGCCAGGGCAGGACTAGTCAATCTAGAAAAGCTCAATTTTCTCTACAGAAGACATTGATTTCCTTCGTGTAAAACCCATTGAACAGCTTGATTGTAAATTATAGCTCAAAGACCCCATGAGGTATAGAGAGATGGTTCAGTCAAAAAAGTGCCTGCATCAAAATCAGAAGGATCTGAGACTGTATCCCCAGCATCCATATAAGTTAGGTGCCAGGCACAGGTGTGTGCCCTGGGGGCTGGGGGTTGGGAGTGGAGAAAGTAGAATTACCTGGATCCCTGAAACTCATTGGCTAGCCAGCCTAGATAATCAGTGAGCTCTGGGTTCAAAAAGTAAGGTGGAAAGTGACAGAGGAAGATACCAACCTTGACCTTTGTCCTCATACTCACACATATGCCCATGTACCCCCAACTCATGTGCATACATCCACATAAACAGATGCATATACCACATACAAAAGACCCCATAGAAGGGTCTTCTTAGACCCCTTTACCATCCCTTCCCAACCTTTGCAGGTTTGTCCAGTTTTTCGGCATTGCTTTTCAGTATTTTCTTGAAAACCACTCAGAAGTTACCGCCCCCCCCCCAAAAAAAAGAATCTCATAATGTGTTAAGTAAGTTTACAATTTTGGGTTGTGTCTCATTCATAACTATGCTTGGCCAGGTTGGACATACTTGCAAGCTACATCTGATAAACCAGAAGAGATTAGTGAACTGTTTCTCAGAGGGCCCAGTCCCACAATCTAAGCTGTCATTTACTTAGACCATTAACAGAATATCATATGGCATGGTTAACACCCTCACTAGACCTTCAGCTTCTATTTCTAAACAGATAACACTTGTCTGAGACTTGTGCCCAGACTTAGCACAAATGTGTCCCACCTTAAAAACATTATCCAGAAGGATATGGAGATGGCTTGGTGGGTAAAGGTGCCTGCTACCAAGCCTGACAACCTGAGTTTGATCCCTAAGACCCACATGGTAGAGGCAGAGAACTGACTCCCACAAGTTTTCTTCTGATCTCCACGTGTACTATGGGTATCCACACACATACGTGTACAGGCAAATAAAAACGTTTAAAAAAAACTAGCCAGGCATGTTGTATACACCTATAATCCCAATACTCAGGAGGCTGAGAAGGATCACCAGTTTAAAACCAGTCTGGCTTACACAACAGACAACAAAAACTTTGCGGGTTAGTGTTAAGCTCTGTGTAATCCCTATTATCTGAAGTGTTTACTAGCCACAGCTGGCCGTGGTTCTCTGCAGAGGTCTGCACATATGACTGTTAGGTTAGGTTGGTGGGTAGGGGAGATAGTTGCTAAAGTCTTAGGGCTCTGGATTTGCCCCCTAGCTTTATCAGCAACAGCTCTATGCTAGGGCACCAGTGCTCCCAGTACAACTTTGCTGTTCCTGCAGGCTCCTTACAAAGTCCACACGACTGACAATGACACGGAATGCAGTCTGGGCCCTGTCAAACCTTTGCCGAGGGAAGAACCCACCCCCAGAGTTCGCAAAGGTAAGAGCTGCTTACTAGCCAGTAAGTAAGTGATGCCAGATTCCATCATAGCAATTTTTTAAGTTTTGAGGAGACCCCTGAGAGTCTCAAATCATGGGAAACTCAAAGGCAATTGTCAGTGAAGTCGGTGATCCTGTGTTCCAACATGGGAAAGTGAAAAGGTAGGCCTGCAGGTTTAATGCAGTAGTGATTCCCAGGGTTTAGAGTTACTTGTAGGGAAGGGTAGCAATGTTAAGGTTAGTGATACAGCTGATAGAACCTGCTGCCCTATGAGTCCTCCTAACTCTGCTTCCAACAGGTCTCTCCTTGTTTGCCTGTATTGTCTCGCCTACTCTTCAGCAGCGACTCAGACTTGCTCGCAGATGCTTGCTGGGCCCTCTCTTACCTATCTGATGGCCCCAATGAGAAGATCCAGGCGGTCATAGACTCTGGAGTGTGTCGGAGATTGGTAGAACTTCTGATGTGAGTGGCCTCAGTTAGAGAGGGTAGAGGTTTCCTAAGCTGCTCCAAATTCAAACCAAAGAGCTACAACCAGAGATTGGTGTGGTGGTGCATGGCTGTAATTGACAGGAGAATCAGAAGTTGAAGGCCAGCCTGAGCTACAGAATAAGACCCTGTCTAAAAAAAAAAAAAAATCTACAAGCAGCAGATTGACAGTCTTCGCTTACGTCTGGAGCAATGAGAGAATGCTGCCAGCCTTGGCGGTCAGCAGGGCAGAATATGATAGTAGACCCTCCTCTAATGAGCTCTTCTTTCTCTAGGCACAATGATTACAAAGTGGCTTCTCCTGCCTTGAGAGCCGTGGGTAACATTGTCACTGGGGACGACATCCAGACCCAGGTAAGGAAGAGGAGGATAGAGGATCTTAACTCAGGTCAGTTATGGGAGACCATTGTAAACAGTTGCCTGTGACAAAAGCCTTTCTTCTAGGGAACAGGAAAGATGGTTCAGCTGTTAAGAGGTTAAGAGCACTGACTGTCCTTGAAAAGGACCTGAGTTTGATTCCCAGCACCAATATGGTGGCTACCAACTATCTGTAGCTCCAATTCCAGGGGATCCAATGCCCTTTTCTGACCTCCTTGCGCACTGCACAACATGGGTGCAGACAATACATTCATACACATAAAATAAGTAATAAATTATTAAAAGTAATTAAATAAAATAAATTTTTTTTAAAAATATGAGGAATAACCTCTTGAAAGCAGCAGAGTATACATGCTGCTGTGGAGGCTACATAGCAAACCTCAGAACTTGAGATCAGACTGAGCAACAGCAAGGCCCTGTCTTAGAAAAATAAAATAGCACCATACACATACACATATGCACAAAATAAAAATTGTCCGTACAGTGAAGGCACAATAAACAAGTTTCAACTATTAGAAAACTAAAGAAATGGGGATTTCCTTCTGGGGATCCTGATTTCTGGGTTTGTTTGATTGTTTTTATGTTTTAGGGTTTTCTGTTGTTTTTGTTTTGTTTTGAGACAGGGTCTCCCTGTAGCCTCAGCTAGCCTGGAACTTACTCGGTAGAACAGGCTGGCCTCATTTCACAGAGATCTACCTGTCTCTGCCTCCCTGGTGCTAGGATTTAAGGTGTGGGCCACCATGTCTGGACCTCCTTGATTTTTTTTTTTTTGTCTTTCGAGACAGGGTCTCTTTGTAGCCCCAGCTGTCCTGGAACTCACTATGTAGACCAGGCTGGCCCTGAACTCACAGAGATCCGCCTGCCTCTGCCTCCCGAGTACTGGGATTAAAGGCGTGTGCCACCGCTCCTGGCCTGATTTCTTTTTTTTTTTTTCTTAAAGTATTTTATTTATATTTCTATTTTATGAGTATAATACCTGCATGTAGGTAGGTACACTCATGTTTTGCAATGCCCATGGAGGTCAGAAGAATGTGTTGGATCCCCTGGAACTGGAGTTACAGGTGGTTGTTAGCCACCACATGGGTGCTGGGAATTGAACCCAGGTGCTCTGTAAGAGCAGTCAGTGTTCTTAACCACTGAGCAATCTCTCCAGCCCCCTTTCTTGATTTCTTTAGTGACCCATTCATTATTCAGCAGAGCATAGTTTGCCTATGCGTTTGTGTGTGTTCCTGTAGTTTCTCTTGCTGTTGATTTGTATTTTCATTCCATTGGCTTGCTATAGGTACCTCATAAGTAAAAATCACAGAATATTTGTCCTTTTTACATCTAGCTTAGTAAATATAATGCCTTCAAGATTCATCTGTGTCATAGCATTTGTCAGAATTCCCCTTGTAAAGCTGAATGATATCCAGAATGATATCCATTATTTGTGCATATTATATTTATGTTGTTTCTACTTTTTGACTATTGTGAACAATAGTCTGCTGTGGATACTGGAATGAAACTGTTAAGTTCCTGCTTTTGCTTCTTTGGGGCATATCTGTACAGAAGCAGATTAGAAAACATGGTGATTTTTATACTGATTTTTTTTTTTTTTTTTTTTTTTTTAAAAAAAAAAAAAATCTCCCTGTAGCCCCAGCTGTCCTGGAATTCACTGTGTAGACCAGGCTGGTCTTGAACTCACAGAGATCCGTCTGCCTCTGCCTCCCAAGTGCTGGGACTACAGGCGTGCACCACCACGCCCGGCTTTTATACTGATTTTTAAAGGAACTATTGCACTGTTTTGCATAGCTGGTGCATCATTTTGCATCTCTACAGCAATGTACCAGGTTCTAAATTCTGCTGTTTCATTTTCTGCTGTTTTTATAGCAGCCATCTTGTGAAGTTTGAAGTGCTATCTTGTGGCTTGATTTGCATTTCTCATTTGATTAATGACCTTTAACATATTTTTGTGTGCTAATTAGCAATTTAATATCCTTTTTCAAAATTGTATTTGTTTTGCCTGCATGTAAGTGCAGCACATGTGCAATGCCTATGGAGGCCAGAAGAGGGCAACAGATCCCCTACACCTGGAGTTACACTTGGTAGGCATCAATTTGGTGCTAGGAACAGAAACCAGGTCCTCTTAACCATTAAGTCAGCATCTATCATCTCTCCAGCCCTCTAAATATCTTTTCAAGTCC